CTCTCTGCAGTAATTAATAGCATTAGCTCTTCACCTAGGGGTGGGGCTTGTGAAATTTCTCCCATCCATATTGGGATGTTAGCCCATGCTGTCATTATATAGGTCTTCCACTGAGTTATTAACCTGAAGTTTTAAAATTTTAAAGCTGCTCCTTTATTTTTGCTTGTTTTTCTAAGTTTCAAGAAAAGCATTCATGCATTGTAAGAACAATACAGAATGAATACTCACGTCATTTTTTTTTTTTTTTTACTTTACTTTACTGATTCCCTTGGACTTTTGGTCATGTTTAAGAATCTTAGTTAACAAAGCTTTACAACCCCACAGAAACTTTCTACCAAGTAGCTCAGAGAGATGAGAATAACCATTGAAGGCATGATGAGAAGCCACAGGGTTTGGAAGCACAATTACCCTGCAGTGGCTCTTCCTAAGCTCTTGCCCCTACTTGTCAACATGTGCCTACTCAGAACTAAATGGATGCCTCTATTTCCTTACTGTGAACAGTAGCTGCTGGTTCTCTTGGAAGGGATGCTCTGAGCAACTGAATACATGAGAATACATAGTTTTTGGTTTTTGGTTTGTTTGTTTTTCCCAAGAAGGAGACAGCACTGTGAAGCAGTGTCACTAGTGCCCCTGGGTATGGGCGTGGAACTGGAACTATGGTGCAAAGACTATGAACTGTAGACTCTGGGATAGTGCACTTTTCCCTAATGTCCTTTTCTGAAACATTTTCCCAAATATTTTGTGATGGCTATACTTAATTCCTTGCATCAAAACTTAAAGCTTATAATTAAATTGTGTAACAGTGGATTTGAAAATCGTTTTTTTTTCTTTTAGGTAAATGAACAGATGTGTTCAAATAATCTTTAAAACTTGTGAATAGGTTCAAACAGTCATCAATGAAGAAATTATTAGTCTAATAGTGAAAACAACTTTTTTCACTCTACACCATTAAGTTATGTATTTGATTGGACATGCCCTACATACACATCCAGAACCGTCTCCCTAATTGACTGAAGGGCTGACTGCCCAGGGCCATCGTGGTTTCAAAGAAGGCAATTGTTTCGCCATTTCTCTGTGCCTGGCCTGCCTGGAACTTAGCAGGCAGTCATAATTATTGTTAATTGCTGTGGAGACTTACTGTGTAGCAGGCACAACAGTAACACTGGTGAGCATTTGCTGAGAGTTGAAGAGGGAAGTGGCTGTCCATTGCTCCCAGCTCCCTCTGCCTCCCCCAAGAATGGCTCTTACTTAGCAAGAGTAGGAGCCTGGATATTTATGGTGATTTCATTATCTTTTCCTAATTCCTAACAACTCTTCACATTAAATATGAAAATTGAGTTGGTAATCTTAACCAGCCTATTTTCTGGAAGGATTTGGGTTCTAATCATAGCTCAGTAAGTTTATAGTAATTCCAATCCAAATTGATATCTTGGCATTCTCTCTTTGATACCATATCTGGATATTAGGTACAATTTGTAACAATATCATAATATAAATTCACCCAAGAACTATTAAAAAGAATCTCTATTCATCTTAATATCATTTTCATCTGGAGAACATATTACAGGTTTTAATCTGCTAATCATTAAAGTGCTTTAAAGTAGTGATTTCATGCACCATTAGAATGCATTTGCCATTTATAAAATATTAAACTCATAACACCCAAGAATTATATCTGCTCATTCCTTTTATTATAAAAATTGACCTGGATAAATAAACCTATTATAGATATATGTTCAACCTAATTAATTTAAAATAGCAAACTAATATGGGTTTAATAACATATGTATTGTACATCTTTTTCTAATGAATTATATAATTTTTTCAAACCAGAATGAAGGCCATGCTACTGAAATGCCTTCACTCATAGCTCATTTGCTTACAAATACTTTAAATATACAAACATATAGAGAAACGCACACACACAAACACATGCCTTTTATTTGTGGACTTGTGGGTTTTTTCTAAATAGCTTCTGTATTGGGTGGTTTGTTTAGAAATCAGAGTTTATCAGGAAAGGAATCATAGCTTGCTTTTTTTAGTTTGAGTGGGTTTTGTTGTTGTTTGTTTTTTGAGTCAGAATTTTGCTTTGCAATTTGGTCTTCCCAGATACAATCTGTGTAGCTTTAAACTCAGTTGTCCTTCTGCCTCAGCCTTCTCAGGGATGGAGTCAAAGGCATGCACTGTAGTCACATCTTATTAATTATGAAAGCTTGGCCTATAACTTAGGCTTGCTTCTAACTAGTTCTATAACTTAAATTAACCCATTTGTATTCATTTATGTTCTATCACGTGGCATTACCTCTCTTCCATCTTGCATCCCCTGTTTCTTCTCCATGTCTCCTGCTTGTGCACCTGATTTTTCCCCTCTCCCTGGAAATCCCACCTATACCTCCTGTCTAACTATTGTCCATTCAGCTTTTTATTACATCAATCACAGCAAATATATCTTCACACAGTATACAAATATCCCACAACAGTGTACCACCATGCTTGGCTCAGAAACTATGTGTTCTAATTTTGTTAGTGATGAAGATGGTAAAAAATCCAGTGAATGTCATTTTGATATATGGCAATGTAGGAGAATGATATTTATGAAACTCGTTTTTATTACTTTTTGTTTTATTCTTTGATAGTTTCATATGTGTATATAATTAATTTTAGGTGTTTTCATCCCTCTTCCACTTAAACCATGTTCACAACAAGTCTGTTTCCTATTTTCATGTGTCTGCATGTGTGTGAGTGAGTGTGTGTGTGTGAGTATGTGTGTGTGTGTGTGTGTGAGAGAGAGAGAGAGAGAGAGAGAGAGAGAGAGAGAGAGACTCACTAGGCATAAATAATTATGGCAGCCGTATGAGTATGGGTTGGGGTTATTTATTGATGCATGAGCAACTTATCAGTGTTATACCATTGGGGGAAAATGACACTACTTCCCTAAGCAACCATTTGGAGGGATGGGAACTCATGAGCTACTCTTACCCATGATAATCATTGGCAGGCCAAATCTTGTTCAGGTCTTATGCCGGTAACCACAGCTGCAGTGGGTTCCTGAGTGCAATGTCTATGCTATGTCTTTTATCATTTAAATTTTATTTGTTGCAGAATTACATGAGTGACTACTATATTTATATTATTTCACCCCCCAATTCCTCTCTAATGCCTCCTATGTCCCTGTTCCACTCTGACCCAAACATGTAGGAATAAGGGTCTTGAACTGAGAGGTGTTGCAGGGGAGGGTCAGGAATGGGAAAATAAAGGAGACAGAAAGCTGGAATCAAGAGGTCTGCATGAGCAGATGACTCCTACTGGAAAGCATATGAAGAAGTATAGTATCTTCTACATTGTTTGCAGGGATGATGGGATAGTCAGCAGAAAGCTACAGCACCTGGGATACAGTCAGCAGGAAACTAATCAAGCAATATTGCACCAAGGAATCACAGGGTTTCTCAAGTGTGTCATTGATCCAGCACACAGTGGCCTGGGAACTGATAGCAATAACCTTTTAGTGGGGGGAAGAGTCAGGTGCCTAGGTACCAAAAACCTTAACTCCTTCAAGGCTTTGGCCCCAGCTCCATACCACAACTTGTCAAATCTGCTCCTGGACAAGGACACTGAACTAGTGTTCCTTTTGCCCTTTCATCTGGGCTTCTGATTGGATTTGAATTGGCCTTGCCCCCATTGCCACTCCCTCTCAAATTTATGATTATTTTATAATTGCTATTGGTTTGCACACACACACACACACACACACACACACACACACACACGAGAGAGAGAGAGAGAGAGAGAGAGAGAGAGAGAGAGAGAGAGAGAGAGAGAAACAGAGAGAGAGAGACAGAGAGAGACAGAGTCAGAGAGAGAGACAGAGACAGAGAGAGACAGATCCCATTTAGTGTTGCTCATATGTGCATGTGTTTATGGTTGATAACAGGATTATATAACCTATCAGAGGGGCTTATCCTTGAAGAAGTCTGATCTTGCTCTTTCAGTAGCTATTGATGGCCTATAGGTAGGTATTCATCTAGGGGTGGAACCTTGTGAAATTTCCCCATACGCATTGACATGTGAACTGGAATTATCATTATGCAGGTCTTGTTTAGACAACGATAATGTATATGCCAGCTTCTCTGGCATGTCTACATATGCTACACTATGTAGCAGCATGTCCTGATCTATCCGACTTATAATTGTTCTGCTCCCTGTTCTTGGGATCCCTGAGCCTTGGTTGTAGGGTTTGTGTTATAGACCTACCACATGAGACAAGGCATCTCATGATGTGTTTATACGACACATCTCCCATCCTGCTGATCACAAATTCTTTCTGCCCCCTCTTCCATGATGTCCCTTGAGTGCTGGAGGGGGCAAATTAGAAGTAGGTCAATCATTCTACCCTCACTTGTTAAATTCTTTTCACTTTTCCACATTTTTAAAGTAAGCATGATTTGTTTGTTAAGTGTATAATAATTTTTTTAAATTTATTTTGTTTAATCATAGCATCTCCAATAGCATAATAGAAATATTAAAAGCAAAATTACTGGCATTTTGAGAGCTCCTGGGAGAGGGGGAGTCAATTCCTTTAATGGTGCGATTCTTGGTAGGTAAACCCCACTCAAGAATAGTAGGGCAGCACAAATTGGACTTGATGGGTTAAAACAAACTAACAAGCAACAAAAACAGAAGCAAACTTAAAGTTGAGTTGGAGGGAGGAGTTGGGGAAGGGTATGTGTGATTATGACAAAAAAAAAACTGCATGGAATTTTAAAAGAATTACTAAATATGTCCTTGAAAGAACCTAGTTAACTGCATGATAAACTGATTTTTAAATTAATTTCCTTAATTACTAAGGTTTGGGCTAATCTAGAGATTACCTGTCCTGTTGACACTCAAATTTCACAGGGCACTGAAGATCTTTTGTTTTCCCTGGCAGTGCTTGAAGTCACTTGGGTTTGGGCAGAGTATTTTGAGGTTAACCTGAGCAATCTGTGTGTGTCCATGTGCAGCACCTGTTCTTCCTGGAGCTTACCAGCAGAGTCATTCCCAAGGCTATGGGTACATGCACCAGACCAGCATGTCATCCATGAGGTCAATGCAGCATTCACCAAATCTAGTAAGTGCTAATTTCAAACATTCCTGCAATATTGGACTATATAGCTTGGTGGTAGAGTGCTGTCTTAGAATGTAAGGTTCTGAGTTTAACCTCTAGCACTGGAAAAAAAGAACTCAAGACATTAATATCTGTGTAATTCTTTACATGCAAACAAAAACCATTTCAGAGGTAAAATGATTAAAAATAATGACATTAATAAACATCTTCAAACAATAAAACAAACAATACATTTCCCAGTAGGGGATCCTTTTTATGTAACTTTTGTGTTACTATGATAAAACACAATGACCAAAAGCAACTTATAGAAGGAAGAGTTTATTTGTGTTTGTGTTCCCAAGGTATTAGAGCCCATGCCAGGGTAAGAAGGCATGGTGGCCAGAGCAGGAAGCTAAGTGGTCACATCTCAACCACAAGAACAAAGCAGAAAAATAATCTGGAACTAAGACAAGTCTATATTCTCTCAAAGTCAACCCTCAGTGACATATTTTTTGGACATCAAATATTCAGATACCTTAGCCTATGGGAACATTTATCATTCCAACCACACAGTACCTAATTGTTACTGTTACTTCATGATTGTAAAGATTCAGTTATGCTCTTTATCTAGGCCTAAGAAGGTACAGGTATGTGATAGTCGTGTTAAAGGGATAATCTTCATGTTCATCATAATAGCCTCAGAAGTCTAATGGACATAGGCAAAATAGCTGATGGAAGTTTAAATATTCTGAACACAAAGAAATAATAAACAGATACTCCAGGTAGTCTGAGCAGACAGACATTGTATCCAGGTATTGAAATGCCAAGCTATACCCCCAAATCTATGCAATTACTGCATGTAATCTCTGCATGTCAGTTAAGTCCATGAATAACAGTATCCTTCTTACATCCCTGTTAAAAATCTTGACATACTCATCATTCAGTTCAGAATGATGCTTGCTTTGTGGTCATACTTGGTGTTTCATGCTGAAATTGGTTCTAAGTAGTGATGTCCTATAAAATAATCAAGTGCTTTCAGGGCTATTATGTGCCATCCAGTTTCCTCAGTCTCCTTAATCTAGGAATATTTTTGGCTTTGAGATTTACTGATTATTAATATTAGAAGAACTCTTAGTCTCAAACTAAAACAAATAAAAAAGCACAATTTTACTTTTTCACTATAACAAAATTTTCTCTCTATATACATCAAAACCAGAACATTTCTGTAAGAAATTTACTACATTGTGATCTGAAATATGTAAAGTTTAAGTAAGTAAATCATTTATTTTAATATTTTTAAGAGGGAACACAAATTCTTAGTACTTATTTAGAAAAGGTTCATTTGTTACGCAAGAGGGAGGGCATTGGCAAAGAGCCCATGGACTATGGGCCTGCTGTTAATGGGGGGTAGTCTCCTGAAGAATGAGGGGACAGGATAAAAATCTACATTTTTTTTGTCTGCATGTGGGACCTGGTGTTACTCTTTCAGAGGCTACTTTTAGACAGCATCCTTTTATTTACTGAATTTCATTGTCTTTTTAAGTCCAGCTATTGTGCCATTTTTCAGGATCTTTCCTCTGATCTTAAATCTGTTTTCTCTAGATGAACCAAGTTAAGATTTCTAGAATTAGGTGGTACACCTGGTTTACAACTACCCTGAGATAGCAACGCCTGTAAGCCTTCGTACCCATCATGTGTGTGGTGGTTTGTTGGGGCCCATATTTGTAACTGTGACGACTGTGGAATACAATGCCCAATCTCTTCTTCCTTTCTCAGAGGACCTACCGAGCCATGTACGATTACAGTGCCCAGGATGAAGATGAGGTTTCCTTCCGAGATGGTGACTACATTGTCAATGTGCAGCCCATTGATGACGGCTGGATGTACGGCACCGTGCAGAGAACCGGGAGAACGGGCATGCTCCCGGCAAATTATATTGAATTTGTGAATTAATTCTTTCTCCTTGCCCTTTGAGCTTTATTCTGATGTATTCTAAACCCAATCTTTTTAAAAGATAGAAGATACTTTTCAGATAACTTGGCAATTATTTTACAATAATGTATCCTTACTTTGACAATTAGACACACAGGTACCAGGAAAAAGGAATGACTTTTGGGCTGGAAATGGCAGCATCCATAGTAATTCCTGTAAACAAAACCATTAGGTCTGGAGACCTGGTGCTGCTAATTGTGTTTGTGGTTTCATTTAATTGGCTATTCAACCCTTCTGGGAAATGTATTTTTGTAGACTTTAATAGAAATGTTGGTTGTCCCTTAAATGTAACAAGTGTATGAAACTTCTTAGCTGTCACTTGGAATCATCCGAAGCCAATTCTCATAGTCCAGCAATACAGCCAATAATTTAAAAACCGTTCAGCTTTTGAATCATGGGGTAATTTTCAATTCAAGTGAGAGTTGCCTAATATAATGGATGGAAACAGTGGCAGAATGAGTCTAGTTAAAATCCTATGGACTGTAGCCTTAGGGAGCAGGCAGGAAACTTGCCCTTTCCCTAGGTTCACCAGGATCTAGTTATTTCTCATGTATTTCATGGTATAGGCTATCTCCATTTACATTCTGTGGAGCAGAGCGCATGATCAGGTCCTCAGAATATCAGGACCAGGTAACTTCACAGCTACTCTGCAAAGGGTAAAGTTCAATGTCATCTGTATTATTTCCCTGGTAGCCTCTATCTTGTTGCATGTCTCCTGGGCTTAAGCTTCTGTAACATGACAGCTGCTTGCCCATACTGTTATAAAAGTCAGCAGTGTGGCTGACCTCTCCCTGCTCTTTTTTCTAGTGGCCAGCTCATCAGAAAACATTTTTGAAAAGTTGCTTGAGACTTTCTTGCTGTACTAAACTCTAGTTTTGAAAGACTCATGCCCTAGGAAACACAAATATACTGTAGCAAATAGGAGATTTATGTATTTACTGGATAGCTTTCACTCACTTAATGCCACCATTGATTTAAAAGTGAAACGAATTGAACAGCATCCTGTGTAAGTGGAAATGGATTATACAGTATACCGGAGGAAAACCAAAACGCAAAACAGTAAGCAGGCTCTACAATTAGATGATTTGGTCGTATATTTTGACAATTGGTCTTCAGAATCTGGGATGGAAATCTAGCCACTAAGTGTGTCCATAAAAAAGCATTCCTTTCCCCACCATGGCTTTTGTTTTCTAAATCACCTTCGGGATTAGATAAGAAAGTCATCAGTGATGACTCACTAAGAAGAAAATGGATGTCTTGTTTTGAGTGAGTGTGCAGGGTTCTTATAGCTTCACAGCCCCAATTAGAACCATTGCTATTGTGTCTTAAATTTGCTCTGGAGTCTGCAGTCAAAGTTAGTGGATGTCAACATTTATCACAATTTGTGTTTTTCTCATGGTGCCTCTTACTGTGACTTGAAACAGGATGGCATTCATATGAGACCTGAACCTGAAGAGGGCAGTCACAAAACTGTAAGAAGACACTGGGATTTTGGAGATACCCACACAATATGTTCAAGGAAATTAGCTAGCACCCACCAGTGAAAAATGCTTGAATGAAATGTTTATGAGGCCAAAGCTCAAAGTTGGTTCATTTAAACCTTTGAAAAGTGAGCCCATACTTTTGAAAATCAGTAGTTTCATTAAATTTGCCTTTAAAAAGTTTTTATTACACTGAGATGTGTTTCTGTGACACTGATAGAAAACTGAAAAGAAAAATAACTAGAGATTTTCCTGGAAAGGGATTTTATAGGCTCATAAATAAACTGCTCACCTAATTTCCTGTCATTTAAATAGCCAGTCATGGTTAACCTTCCTGTTTTCATGTCTTGAATACACACCTACAAAGACAAACTGCACTTGCAATAATTTTGCAAAAATATTTACACTAATAACAAGGGAGATAAGCTGTTTCATTTATGTTATGTCTTTATGCTTCCCCAGGCAGACCATTTGCGTGTGTGTGTGTGTGTGTGTGTGTGTGTGTGTGTGTGTGTGATTATTTCAAAAAGAGTAGTTGTTGATGAAAACTTCAGACTAAATGCAGGGCAGGTATGATTTTGGTTGTAGCCTGTGTGCAGAGAGTTCAACAGAAGCTGATTTTGAATTGATACTTACCTTCAGCTAGTCCCCACAAAGCAGCTCAATAGTCCATGTTTTTGCCACTCATTAACTTCAGAGTCAGATTTGATGAATGTGAAAGCCAGTGCATATTTAGGAAATCAGTGTCCTAAATGCTGAGCTTCACTTGTTTGCATAGCAAGATATTTTTGTTTTAAGCCTTTCAGATTAAGATCTGATCTGGATTCAATAAAGTGCAGTTATGTACAATACAGACTGAGGCAGGACAAGAGATTGCATGCTCCTGAGGTCATGCATTGATAGTCTTGACACTGTTACTAGCACATGAAAGGATGTTACCCATCTCAGCAGAAAATAGGAGCATAGATGTGTCACACCCAGGTGCCAACTTTTGCAGCACCATTTTAAAAAATTACTATACTCTTAACACACTTTTCCCATGCCTCCCTGCTCCCCCCCAGGTTTGGCAGCCAGTATCTCACATGTAACACTGACAGCTATAGATGAATTTAAAAACAAGCCCTTTAGATATCAAGTTAAAGGAAATGAAATGCCAAGCACAGAGAGCATGCACCTGTTCCTAAATGTGATGGTTTCTCAAGCCTGACAGAAGTACAAGACGCTGCGTGATACACTTCGCAAAGGCTCTGAAGACAAATGTATTTGGTTCCTGCTCCTCTTGAGAAAAGTTTAGCAACAGAATACAACGCTCTTGTTGTAAGCTTTTGTAGTAAATTTTTAAAAGGCCATTTCTTGTTCTCTAGAGAGCTTTCTATTTCTAACCTGTGACAAAATTCGTACTTCATGTCTTCATTGTGTTTGCACATCTGCAGCACAACTCAGTTGGAAATTTTGATCTGGTTGTCATTCTCCACGGAGCCCCTGCATCTTCCCATATCTCTCAACCTCCACAGAGCACCCAGGAATGTCTAAGCACAGTTTCCACAAGCACCTTGTGTGGGGATGGGTGAGATTAGGCCAGTCCCTTCCTTGCCTTTGTTTGAAGATGATGATGTTATTTGGCTACTTTTACTGTAGTCTTTCATCCCAGATCCTTTCTGTGCTGGGGTTCATAACACTCCAGGAATGCTGGGAAAATCTTTTCTACAAATGAGATCAAGTGACACACCTAGTTTTCAGGTTCCTCCACCTCTAGTGGAATGATTTCAGTGAAATGGCAAAGAAAATTAAGTGTGATCTTTAATAACACAGCCCTATAGACAGTGGATATAGTTTATACTAATGTTATAATATAGATATATACAAAATAGGTGCCTTTTGATTATACTTGTTTATCATTATGGTCTTGGAAAGGAAACCAAGAAAGCAAGCTTCTGTATATTCTATAATGATATTTTATGATACATGATTGATATTTTTTGTGGTGAGAAGTGGTATACTCCTAATTGAAAGATGTTGCAGGTGGTAGCTGGTTGTAATTTCCTTCTAAAGTTTTAGAACTTTAGAAAATACTGACTTCTTCCATTTTATGAAAAGTTGGTTTTTTTTTCTTGTGGATTTATATATAGTTGAGATATAGGAGCATTAAGTTTAAGTCTGGGGTTTAAAATACTTATGGTGAGATAGATTAGTTATTATGAGGCTGAGTTCACCGCATGAGATGAGCTTTATGAGTTGATTATGTTTTAATTGTTTGCCTCTGATAATCTGAATGTGGCTACATTGCACTCGTATGGGGTAGTACAACATGATGATAATGCTTCAGCTAAGTAGGAAGCTAGGTAAACTAATTTAAGATGCTAAAACGAAGACTCTCTGAAGTATTCCATGCCCCATAGAGCCTTTTTTTCCAGGCAAGGAGCTGTCAATTAATTGATGATCCAAAAAGTCAAGACATTGTGGGAAACTTCTGTGGCCATCAATCCAGGAGGCATAAGACTACTAGAGTCCTCAGGCCTGGTAGGCTCCCTGGGCAAATGTCCTTCCCAATTGTCTGTGACTTCAGTATATCCCCAGGACGCCACATGCTTACTGTGTTTGATATATGGTATCCTGTTTGCATAGCATACACGTCACTGTTGTCAGTTATTGTTAAAGATGGTTTCCTCTAAAGGAAAAGAGAGAAAACTGCATTGCAGCCTCCTTCCTTCATGTCCGTACAATGAATTGCTAAGCATTTTTGGAAGTAGCAACAAGTATGTAACAGGCATGATATTTGTGAAACTGTTGGCTTTTGACCTGTGATAAAGAAACAAAATTTGAATGATGTAGTTTGGTTTCTGTTTGCTTTGAAATATGCACAATTGTGGTTGGTAATTAATTTGTAAAACTGTACTAACTTTGAGAACATTATGATTTTGAAAGAAGCAGTAAATGTTTTTTCAATGGACAGGGATCACAGAATAATATAAGGTTATTAGTATAATTTGGCTTTTGTTATGCAAATTGTCAACACCAGCTATTAAACTATATTTTAGTAGAAATGCTTTAATTCATGTTTTTTTTCCTCTGCACTGTGAATCTTTAAGCCTTGGTGGACCAGAGACACATTTCGATGTCCAAAGGATTAACCTATGCAAATGAGTCATCTTATTGATGTCACAGTAAACATGTGCTTAGAAGTGATTTCTACTCACAATGTACAGCAGGATTGAAATAGCACAAGAAGCCCGGCCTCCCATGCACTACACTGTAGTCAGTCACAATCCCTTCAAGGCCACCAAAACCATTAGTATTTGTGGAAATCAGATTGTTATCTATTGAAACTACTTGACTGATGCCGGGAGGAAAATGACAGACAGGCATCTTGCTGTGGCTTTCATAGAACTATGTTCTCACATATTTTCTCTTCAGGGTCTTGGTATTCTGTGTCTTCTATCTGTATTTGTAAAGCATTATGATGCATTAATTTCCTATCAACACATTTGGTTTGCTTAAATAAATACAGGATGTAACAAAACTGTTCTGCTTCTTGGCTGTCACCACAATTTCT